GATGCAACGATGGGCATAGAGGTAAGTGTGGAAATGACGGACTGCCCACACAACACCCAGCCCCTCCAACTCCGTGATGCCATAGTTGAGTTAGTGTTTCTGCAGTGAAATACTGGCTGGCATATGCTATGGGGCATACCTGTTTTGTCCGGCTCCTGAGAAAGTACAGCCCCTAGTCCACACCCTGATGCGTCAGTCTCCAATATAAACGGCCGCTGGAAATCTGTGTAGCAAAGAATGGGTGCTGTGGTCAGTAAGGTTTTTAGGCTCTCGCAGCTGTTCTAACATGTGTCACTCCACTCGTAAGGCACATCTTCTTTTGTTAGCGCATGGAGTGGTCCAGCCACCTTGGAGAAATTCGTAACGAACCTCCTGTAATACGATGCCAGCCCAAGAAATGAACGAAGAGATTTGATATCGGTGGATGTTGGGTAATGCTGGAAAGACAGGACTTTCTGCGGATCTGTTGGATACCTGCCGATGAGATCACATACCCCAGATACTCAACTGAGAGCTTGGCAAACTTGCATTTCTTCGGTTTCAATCTTAGCCTGGCCTTCCTGATACGCGTCAGGAGGTTCCGATTATACTCAGTTAGGGTCCGCCCGAATACCAGGACGTCATCAAGGTAAATGTGACATTTGTCCTGAGCCAGTCTAGAGAGTACAAGTTCCATGAGCCTCTGGAAGGTGGCGGGAGCGTTCACTTGCCCAAACGGCATTTTCGTGAATTCTTCGTGAACTCGTACAAGCCACAGTGAGTCACGAATGCTGTCTTCTCCTGTGATGTTGGCTCCATTGGGACCTGTCAATATCCAGACTCCAAGTCTTTACTTTATGCCTTGTAAAACGAAATACAGTCCAGCCATATGGCAGATATTTGGGTCATAGCTCAAGCGATAGATAGAGGTAGCCCTTAATTGAAGAATGTGACACTTGTTCCGCTGCCAACGTAGCTACAAACTTACATACACGATATTGATGGGTCAATGTTCATAGTTGAGCAGAAGTGTAGGTACCGAGATTGAGCCGAGCGGTAGGTTCTCAACGTTGCTGGGGATACGGCCGACTCGAAGACTTGTAAAACTAATCTGTCCAATCTTGCGTTCTCCAAAATGGACGCGCTCTGCCGAGGCCCAACTTGAGAGACACCGGGACTGCCGTTGCGTAGGGGAGCGCCGCCGGAACCTGTGTACGGAACCTGTGTACGGAAGGAGTCAAGGTCATCACGGGACAGCGCGTCCGCCGCACCATTGGCCCGACCCGGTGTGTGCCTCACGGTGACTTCAAAGTCGTGGAACGCACTAATGAAGAAGAGAGAGCGAAGCTGGTGGCACATCAACAGCTCCTTCGCCCTCCCTCTGTTGATTACCTCCACCAGTGAGCACAAACGGTACACCCTCTCCAGAGGCGGCCCCACACCGCGCACGCCACCGAAATGGGAAACAACTCCTTTGGAGCGATGGTCGCAGACGCTATGGGAAGACCCTTGCCACACCACTTGAAACCACATGCTATTCCAATAGGCTCCGTACCCCTAAGACCCAGACGCATCGGAGTGAAGGTGAACATCCGCTTGCAGAGTCTGGCACTGGCGGAAAATGGAAACGCCTTTCCAACAATGACTGAACACCAGGTCTGCTTGACACTGAGCGTTTAGCCGCACATGGAAATGCTTTTGGAAGTGGCTCGTCCGCATTAGCAGGTCATAGATGGGGCGTAGGAAGCATCTTCCAGGGCGCACCACCTTGCATGTATGCTGTAGTTGGCCAACCAGCGATTCCAGGTCCCTTCTCAGGCCTCCATCACCACGAGGTGGCTGCTTACTTCTTCGTGTCATCTGTTTCTTCTGTTCTGACGAGCCCTTGCTAGCTGTGCAATTACCCTCACCACCGGTACCAGGTTGTCTTGTCGTCTCTGATCCCTTGTCAACAGCACCTGATTCACCTGGGTTTGAGTGTTGAGTAGAGGTTGTCTTTCTCTCAGTTCCACTCCTACCGGGCAGCCAAAGTCATCACCCACCTCCTTGGGACATGGACGGAGACGGTCGAGTGCCACCAGTATTGGCTCCTCGCTTGGGCGATCCACTCTGGTTATCTTTGCTATATTCTACCCCAGTTCAACCACTCTGTACGGTCTGGCCAGTTTACGATTTGCACCAGTTTTCACAGACGGACGGAAGAGGAACACGCGTTCCCGTTCCCTGTAGGAGGGAGGCTTGGCTCTTTGATCATACACCTGCTTTTGTCGCTTCTGGGCCCGGCCAATGGATTGATGGGCTAACTCCCATGCTTCAAACATCTTCTGGTGCAGCGCTATCCCATACTCTCTCAAGTAAGTCACAGTTCGCGACTTGGTCACTGTCAGTGTGGCAGGGACTGGTAGTCGCGGGTCCTTCCCATACACCCGATAAAAGGGAGACTTTCCTGTAGATGCTTGCAGGCTGGCCCTATACGCAAAGAGCACATACGGCAGACGTTCGTCCCACTCCGGACCTCCTTGTTCCACGGTCTTGGCTAGCATCGTAATAAGGGTCTGATCTGGGGTCTCACTATCTTCTCCACCAACAACTTTGCTATCGTTGGAGCACATTGATCTCGGGTTGGGAACACCTCTGGCCACTTCGTGAAGTATTCCATGAAAACAACGGCATACTGGTTCCCTTGGCTAGTTCGGGGAAGCTGGACGACATCCACGCCAATTGGATCGAATGGGCCCAACACGGGGATAGGAGTTAAGGGTGGCCTCATTGCTCCACCTGCATGGTGAGTGGTACAAACTAAACACGCCTTAGTCCAACTGGTGATATCTCTCCGCATGCCACCCCACCAGTAGTGTCTCATCAAGTAACTGTGGACATTGGTGCCACTCAAATGAGCCCCAAATATTCCGGCATGCATCTCCTGAAACAAATGTCGGTGGGACGTGGTTGGTGGCACGAGTCGTAGAGTTGCATCTCTCTCGTCTCTGTAGAGAACTCCTTGCACAGTGTAGAGTGGGCTCTTCAGAACCACCTCCTTTGCGAGCTTCTTAGGACCCCAGTCTCAATGTAGTTCATTATTGGGCTCAGTTCTTCATCTGCATGCTGCTTCTCTGCCAGTCCATCTTTGGTTTCAGTTTTGGCGGTGAGTGCAGCCAATACTCCCTGGGTATGATGGTCGTCTGTTGTCGAAGGCATTGGGGATCTGGACAAGGGATCGGCGTTCGCATTCTTTTTGCCTTCTTTTCACCGGGTCCATCTCTTGGAGTGCCATGCCCCATCTCGCGAGCTTCCCCGACGGCTGGGTATTCAGAAATGATTTGAGTGCTTCGTGGTCCGTGTAGACGATGCAACGATGGGCATAGAGGTAAGTGTGGAAATGACGGACTGCCCACACAACACCCAGCCCCTCCAACTCCGTGATGCCATAGTTGAGTTAGTGTTTCTGCAGTGAAATACTGGCTGGCATATGCTATGGGGCATACCTGTTTTGTCCGGCTCCTGAGAAAGTACAGCCCCTAGTCCACACCCTGATGCGTCAGTCTCCAATATAAACGGCCGCTGGAAATCTGTGTAGCAAAGAATGGGTGCTGTGGTCAGTAAGGTTTTTAGGCTCTCGCAGCTGTTCTAACATGTGTCACTCCACTCGTAAGGCACATCTTCTTTTGTTAGCGCATGGAGTGGTCCAGCCACCTTGGAGAAATTCGTAACGAACCTCCTGTAATACGATGCCAGCCCAAGAAATGAACGAAGAGATTTGATATCGGTGGATGTTGGGTAATGCTGGAAAGACAGGACTTTCTGCGGATCTGTTGGATACCTGCCGATGAGATCACATACCCCAGATACTCAACTGAGAGCTTGGCAAACTTGCATTTCTTCGGTTTCAATCTTAGCCTGGCCTTCCTGATACGCGTCAGGAGGTTCCGATTATACTCAGTTAGGGTCCGCCCGAATACCAGGACGTCATCAAGGTAAATGTGACATTTGTCCTGAGCCAGTCTAGAGAGTACAAGTTCCATGAGCCTCTGGAAGGTGGCGGGAGCGTTCACTTGCCCAAACGGCATTTTCGTGAATTCTTCGTGAACTCGTACAAGCCACAGTGAGTCACGAATGCTGTCTTCTCCTGTGATGTTGGCTCCATTGGGACCTGTCAATATCCAGACTCCAAGTCCAGGGTAGTGAAATACTTTGCTCCTGCCAGAAGGTCCAGGGTCTCGTCGATGCGAGGGAGCGGGAACTCATCCAGCTTTGTTACATAGTTAAGTTTGCAATAGTCAACATAGAATCGGGTTCCGCCATCCTTCTTCTGCACCAGCACTATGGGGCTGGTCCACGGACTGGCCAATGGGACTACAACTCCTTGGGAAAGCATGCTCCCTACCAACTCCTCCACAGTCTGAAGAAGGGCAAATGGAATCCCTCGTGGTGATTGTTTAATGGGCGGATGGTCTCCGGTTTTGATAGAGTGCTGGGTTAGATCATTGCTTGAGTTGTGTCTGTTCCAAGGGAGTGAGGTGGGAAGATCCAGGAATTGCTCCAACAGCTGCTTCTGCCGTTCCGTCTTGCAATGGTGCGGCCTTGTCAGTCCCGAACTTCCAGTTGGCTTGCCAGTGTATTGTTCTCCTTGGCTCCTGTTTGCGAGGGAGGGTTCAAGTCGACATGTCGCAACTGAGTCTCCAGGGCTCTAGCACTCAGACATTCCCACGCTTCAGGATTCTTCCCCACCGTAGGCTGTCCTTCCCCACGATCCAAGTTCTGTAGGGGCTGTGCAGCTGGTTTAGCTGGAAGGGCGCTTAGAGTGGCCAGTTCCGGGTTGGTGTAGCTCGTGCCTCCTGGTGCGTTCTCTTCACGATGTCCAGTAGTACGGTAACCAGCATCTCCATCTGGCTGGACTGTCACACCTAATGTCGCCTTCCCGTGTAGGGATCACAGTCCCCAGCGTGGTTCCAGCACCCAGGTTGACTACTTCCGCTCCTTTGTTTGAGGCCACTAGAGTGGTGCACGGTCCGCCAATCACCGAGTCTGCCAGTAGAATGGCTTCACCAGCTGAGTTTGGAGGGAACAACGTCAGGCACGTATCAAGGTCTGCCATGAGCTCCACTCCACCATCGTACCTGGGTGCACTCTAGTGGCCCCAAACAAAGGAGCGAAAGTAGTCAACCTGGGTGCTGGAACCACGCTGGGGACCGTGATCCCTATACGGGAAGGCGACATTAGGTGTGACAGTCCAGTACCAGCAGGAATCTTAGTGGCTGTCAGTAGTCGCGTGATCCCGCAACTACTCTGCTGTTGAGTCGGCTCTGCTCGGACGACTGTCTGTTGCTGAGTCGGCTCTACTCTGACGACTGTCTGTTGATGAGTCGGCTCTGCTCTGATGACTGTCTGTTGATGAGTCGGCTCTGCTCTGACGACTGTCTGTTGATGAGTCGGCTCTGCTCTGACGACTGTCTGTTGATGAGTCGGCTCTGCTCTCACGACTGTCTGTTGTTGAGTCGGCTCTGTTCGGACGACAGTCTGTAGGTCAGACGGCTCTGCTCTGACGACTGTCTTTTGTTAAGTCGGCTCTGTTCAGATGATTGTCTGCTGGTGAGTCGGCTATGCTCTGAGGACTGTCTGCTGTTGAGTCGGCTCTGTTCTGACGACTGTCTGCTGTTGAGTCGACTCTGTTCTGATGACTCTCTGCTGGTGAGTCGGCACAGTTCGGACTACTGTCTGCTGGTGAGTCAGCTCTGCTCGAACGACGGTCTGCTGATAAGTCGGCTCTGCTCTGGGTTCAAGGTCTTGGGTATCTGACGCCGGTCCCCCTGCTGAGCTTGAGGCTCCCCCTGCAACCCGTCGATCGTGTTTGTGACTAACCGGTTCTCTTTTGGCAAGTACCACTCCTTCAATCCGATTCACGTCCAAGTACGTCAGTACCCACGAATAGTTCATTCGGGGCTTCTTTCTGGACTAAAACCGCCATGCGGATTGAGCGGTGGCCACAGGACAGTTGCAGGTATATCTGGGAAATAATGTTGAGTGGGTGTCTCCTGTAGTTCGTAAGAGACGTCTCTTCAGAGTGTCAGTCTTCCATTGCTCTCTAGATTGATTTTTCTTCTCATAGATATGATGGTTGCTGGTGATCCCGTGTCGACCAGAGTCTTGGCATTGTCGAACACTTTCGTGAAAACGGTAGGGCCAAGATTCCCAACTTCACAATTCTCACCAGATAGGGAGTTCAGCTCCTCCGCAAACTCTTCGACTGCCTCCAAGGCTTCTGCTTTTTTCAGCTGTTTCTTCAGACTCTCGACCAGATCTTTGGCTTCCCTCTGCGTGGTGGTCAGTGCCGACATTGATCCCTGTCTCCGCTTCAGTTTGTTATTTCTTTTGATAGGGGCACTCCCTCGCCATATGACTTTCCATCCCACAATTATACCATCGTCCTCTGATGGTCTTAGGTGTAGGAGTTTATTCGTATATCATTCGCTAGTCGTGGGTTGGTCTCCTGCGGTGGTTGTCGTCTCACTCTTCTTTGAGCTTCCCTTAGGTCGAGGTGGTGGCTCAGTCGGCGAGTACATACCGCGTGGCGTCCCGGCAAACTCCTGTCCTTTCACCTCCTTGAATCGGGCCTTCAGCACCAGCTCTTCCAATGTACCATCAACCCCCATTAATTTGCTTTTCAACTCCGGGTGAAGACAGGCCACGAACTGGTTTGCTAAGAGGACTTGTCCCATCTTCTCAGCTTGCGGACCCTCACGAGTTGCTGAGCATAGGCACGGTTGAATAGCTTCCTTAGATCCTGGACAAATTGCTCTACAGACTTTTTCTCTCCCTGGGTTCGCGAGTGGAACAACTGGGTCTGAACAGCAGTAAGATGTACAGGTGTAAACCTCCTCTTGAGTTCGGCTTGATAATTGTTTCGCACTTTGCAGCTACATGACAGGTAGAACGAGGCCGCAGTGTCCCTCAGGCTAGGCGTGAGGTGAACCAGCCTCCAATGGTCGTCCCATTCTGCTAGCTTGGCAAAATTATGCCACTCCAGAAATCATACTTCTTACCCTTTCCCCGAGAATGGAGGTATCCGAGGCAGTGGTGACATCAACGACATGGGCAGTCTGAAGTGTCTCTTCCAGGTCCTGTGGACAGTTCCGCCTGCTGTACCAAGGCTTCTTTGTCTTCTGCAACACTCTTCTGAAGCTCATAGAGCTGTCTCTGCAGCCTCTTGACTTTGTTTCCCTTTTCTTCCAGCTCCTGCTCACGCTCTTGGAGTGCCTGTTCGAGTTCGTTTACCCGCCCAGCGTTCGGTTCTTGACTGCGACACTTCGGCCAACTCACGCTGCTCTCCCTTCGGCTTCCACGGCTCTCTGCTCCGATAGCTCCCCCGTTTTCGCACTCTCTCCCACCCGTTGCTCACTCCCTCTTAGCCGCTCTGACAACTCCGCCACATCCCTCTCTAGCTTCGCCTCACGATCCATTCACCTCTGGGTGTTCCTCCTGAAGGCGTGTGTTCTCCACTGTCAGTCTCTGTAGCTCCCACTGCAAGTTGTCATTCGGGGCGTGTAGTGCCTCGATTTCGCGACGAGTACCCAACACCTTCCAATAATGGCTTTAAAGGTTTTGCATTTTTTAACCAACTATCCCAAATAATTTTCAATCAAGTGATAGTGTGGAATTACAGTCTCTCACTTCTCATGGCACCTTTGCCTTTCATACGTACCTGCTCCTACCTTTAATCACGCTAAGGTGTTTAATGGTTTTGCATTGTTTACTAGTACGTGAACTAATGTGATATCTATCCGACCACCCCTAAACAGTTTACTTTAACTAGCAATCCCTAATAATTTCAGTCAAGTGAAAGTGTGGAATGACACTCACTTCTTACTGCCTGTCATATGTGCCCCTACACTTACCCCCACCACCTTCCAATAAGGACTTTAAAGGTTTTGCATTTGTTTCTAGCACGTCGAACTGACGTCTAACCAACCATTTCTACTATAACTAAGTGTGAAATGAAACTCAGTCACTTTTGACTGCAACTTTGCCTATCATCTAACGAAATTACTAACCTAATAATTTCAGTGAAGTTAAAGTGTGGAATGACACTCACTCACTTCTCACTGCAACGATGTTCATCATCTGTGCACCTACCCTTACCCCCCAATAAGGGAATGACACTTATGACGGCAGAAAATTCTAGAAAATTGTTTGGTGCATGCGCAGTTTTGTAGTCGTATGTCCTGGTCAGTCGGGAGCTCTCTCCTCGATCACAGTACTCAATGGCCGTAAATACTGTTGCGCCAAGCACCGATAGCGGCCGAGAGAGCACTCTACGACCACCTTCAGCAAAGGCCTCGGAAGCTATATTTGGGGGCCTATCCAGGATATTTTACACAAGAAGCCTGAGTGAGTGCTCTTCGCACCACGGACCGGAGATGGAAGCTCTCAGGATCAAGATCGACAACCTCGAGCAGGAGGTGGAATGGTTGACGGTGGAAAACCGTAAGCTAAGGGGAGACCATCCGGGGGCGAGTGAACGACTAGACAGAGAAACGGAGCTGCAGAGGACGAAGAACGAACCGCATGGAGGTGCTGGAGCAACAGTTAGCTGAGGACCAGTTCGGCAGAGGACGCGGAATTCAGAGCTGGGCAGGCAGAGGCGCGAGCAGCGGAGATGCAGAGACTCGCCGGCAGATTTGACATGGTGACGAAGGCGACAGAGGATATCGCGGGACTGCGACAGATGATCCGGGCGAACGAGGAAATCATCGGGAAAAATCGGCAGATAATCTCAGAGTGGGAACGTTGCGCACCGAAAGGCGGTAGGGAAGCTCTGTTCGGAACTAGAACACCACCGGGAGGAACGGCGCCGGGGGGAAGCATGGGAAACTTACAACTAACGGTGACCAAGGAACAATTAAGGGCTGCCAAAATAGCTGTTGATGCGGGGAACAATGGTGCGGAGAACAATGGTTTGGAAAATCCATGATACGCATTCTGTTAGAGGAGAATTACCAGCGGAGTCCACAGCAGAGAGAGCGGTCTGTTGCCGACAGAACTCAACCACTACAAGCCACGGATTGGGACACAGAACAGCAGTCCAGTGGGGGACGTGGAACACCTGTTCAGGACAGAGAGCACCGCAGTAGTGAAGGCGGTGGAGCACAAATTCTGGCAACCGGGACAAATAGCCATGGACAGATGGTGTAATCCTAATCCTATGGGGTACTGGTACTGGGCCTCAGTGGAGGGAGTTTAGACGGGACGTGGAGTGTGAGTGTATTGGAGCCATTGATGGCACACACATTCCTGTTGAAGCACCAGTAGAAAATCCAACCGACTATCACAACAGAAAGGGCTGGGATTCTGTCATACTTCATGGAACAGTCGACCATGAGGGCCTGGCTGGATGACGGCTGGTGCCTCTCTTGTGGGAGGCTGTAGCAGAAGTAGATGCAAGGGGGAGAACACTCAGACGACTGCCTCAACAAACCGACCCCGAGCAGTGTCCTTTTCGGAGCCAACGACCCAGCTTTCACTGCAGGACCCCTCCTTCCAACAAGCAAGTGTGAATAATGGTGTACAGCGAGGGATCCCCCCACAGCGTTGTTTCCCAGGCCCAAGCTCCAGGGGTGGGTGTTCAGCCTGTGTACCCTCCCCAACCACAGAGGTATGCCACCCCTAAGTTAACCCGACCTCAGGTGCCTGTGTATGTACAAGTTAGTGGTGCACAAAGACCACAGAATCCGGTTGTAGACAAACCTCAAGTCAGTATTTATCAAGGCCAAGGGGCTGAATAGTAGGCCACAAGGGTCAACAACTGTTGCATAAAAGTCTTTCAGACACCCATTAGTACTACCACAGTCTGAAATCCAAGAGGGGCCTAGTGGACTTATGTTCGGGGGTGGGTATCCGACTACAGTGTCAAGTGCTTCAGGAACTGCACCTGGGGTATTCCAAGCTCAGCCAGGGGTGTTGGGGGTACGAGTGGGCTAAACGCCAGGCCCACCGGAACCAAGACACCCTCAGACCCCACCTCCATGTACTTCCCCTTTTCCTGTGTTCTCCATGCTGATCATGGGCCAAATCCCACAGATTCCCTGTTT